CACAACAGCCCACCTGTGCTCGCAGCTGTTCAACGCTTGTGCTTTGATCTTAGACATCTTAGATTTATCTGTCACCACATCAAAAGATATTCACCACGCACTCGGAAGATTTTCTCTATTACTTGAGAATTTCTCTTGAATGTAGTCTTCCAAATCTACTACTGCTTTCACCAGGAAATCCGGAGCGTTCTGAATCGACCAAATCTCACACGCATGCCCAGTGAATTTTTTCTTACCATCTTTTGAACATCAACAACTTCTTCACCACTCATCGCTGAGCTCATCGCAGCGGCCTTTTCCCAGCTCCTCAGGGTGGCGTTGTAGGAGTTGGCGAGTGCGTGAAAATCGTCAGTCTTCATATTATTTTGCATCGAATGAATATCAGATTGCAACGAGGCCATCGCCGACCGTTGAAGTACGGGGGTATCGGTCATTGTAAAGGAAGGGATTAGCAACCACGCAAATTTTACCCTACAAAAAACGTTAACAAATTGGGTGAAAAACTCCGGGAGCTGAATAATTGATTGCAACGAGGCCAAGGCCGTCCGCTGAAGCACAAGCGTATCGTTTATTGTTGAGGAAGGGATTACCAACCACGCAAATTTTACCCTACGGAAAACGTTAGCAAATTGGGCGAAAAACTCCGAAAACTCCTCATCACGTTGAAGGACATTCAAACTAAAGTACTCCCATGTCCCCTTCCCATTATTGGATCTGCAGCAGAAGCATAGCTTAACCGGTTTTGTCTTCACCTCCCAGATTTGACGATATCACCACTAGAAGAATTCTCGCGCGCCCAAAAACTAAGCGCGCGCCTGCAAACGCTATCGCACAGGACGATTCGCGCCCACGCCCCAACCCGAGAATGGTTTAATGCGAGATCTGATTCATTTCAGGTCGGAAGTCTCCAAACCGTCACTCTTCATCTTTTCTTCTTGAGCGTTGTAACACGGGGAAAAACATCAACTCAAATAAAAGATGGTGCACAAAAGGAGAAAGTTGGAATGTTCGAGAATACCGTTATCCTCATATTTTTGGTCGTCGCCCGACCGACCGTTTTTGCTCTATACTTACTCGTAGCAGCATGATCAATAAAGTAAGATTAAGGTTTTGATTTCTCTCCGAGTTGAACGATGATCTCGACAACTCTCCCAACACGACTAACGAGTCCGGCCAGTGAGCATACCGTATATACGACGTGCTAGACATGTGCAGGCTCCGCCAATGCACATCTAATGTTGGGGGAAAATATGCACATCCTCAACTACATGTGTTGGTGCCAATATGAAAATTCTGGGAGAAAATTTTGGGAAATTACTGTTGGTTTCTACCCGAATTCGTGTGTTCATGTCGGAATCGTCGCGTCTCGAATACAGCGGAGGAGCGAAGCGTTTCACGATGTGCATTGAAAGTGTGGTTGTAGTTGACGCGAGCCTTGCATGAGAAGGACGAGGTGTTGTCGAAATTGAAGGATCTCGAGAACGACTATGCAACACTATTGATGACAACACTATTGATAACACTATTGATGACAACACTATTGATAACACTATTGATGACAACACTATCGATCGATCTCATAAGTTCCCTTCCCCGAACACGTCATACCAAGCTGTAACCAATGGAAACCCAAAGCCGCCGAGATGAATGCTCTTTCAATAGAAACTTCGTACTCCTGATAATGAAGTGATGAAGGAATGAAATAGAATTTTTATACCAACTACTGCTGGTCTCGGTCACTGCTGCTGAAGAACTTGTTATGAAGAATCTCTCGTCTCCAATCGAAACCACAAAAACTACAAAATTGATTATTTTCATTTCCCTCAATGACCGGCTCAGGAGGCAACAATGAAAAATCCGGCAACTCTTCTGATGGGAGATCCCTAAACACAAGGAAAATATCTTCGAAATTTGGAGTTGGAGAAATATGTAAAGTTCGCTTTCCTCAACTGAGCTCAGGACTTCCCTCACAGGAATGTATAGAAAGCAACAAGACTTCTCCGAAATATGCTAGAATTCTCATTATATTGTCAC